ATTGCTAAACTCCCTGTGACTCCCAAGAAAGCCCTTTCACAACAAAGAATTACCACATACAAAATGTCAGTATTTCTGATGTTGAGAAACCCTACAATGAAACAACTCATAGTAAGGTCACGGACAAACTCAATTTGTATATCCAATATTATTTTAATTTCTTTACCCTACTTGGTCCATGGGCAGCTGAGTCCTTTGATTAAGCTTTAAGTTTAATCAATTTAATCAATCAATTTCAATTCTCTCTTGATCTAGAACATAAACACTCTCTTCATTATTTTCTCACCTCTCAGACTTCTCTTCCCTCACCTGGATTGACTATGGCTACTGGCTGTCCTTGTACTGGTCTTCCAGAACCCTCTATGCTTTATTACCTCTACATTCTCTTTTCCACTCTCTTTTTTATCCTTTAATAATATATTCTTCAATCATCAACCAGAGTAACAATTTTTAAACACAGATGCAATGGAGTCACTTTCCAGCTAAAAGTCTTCAATAGAGGGACCAGCAGATGGCATAATGATTACGTCACTGGACTCCCACGTAGTCAAGTGCAGTTCAAGTCCTGGACCTGGTGGCTTAAATCTCATGCCTGGTGCATATATGTGCATTCCCAAAATCCCAAGAGGAGAATGGAAGAGAAGAGATTGTGGTGTGGCCATTGCCCTTGGGGTGTGATTCCTTGTTTTCTTGCTCTCTGTCTCTATCTGTCTCTCTAGGGAACATCCATGCCCAACAGCAGAAATCTTTCTCTAAAAAAAAAAGAATAAAGTCTTCTATAGTCTATAACTCTTAGAAAGTTGAATTATATCTTTAACAAAGTCTCTTTTGAAGACACTGCTTATTTCTCAGCCTCTGTTTAGGATATGTTCTACTAGTTTTCTCTACTTTAGTCATAGTGATTTTCTTTCAGTTATTTTAACATGCCCATTTCCATCCTGCCTTAGAATATTTGCATATGTCTGTCCTGTTAACCAACCTTCCAGCTTTTAAGGCCTATTTACCCTTCATATCTCAACAGCATATCTTCAAGAGGGTCTCTAATTACCAGAGAAAAGATAAGGTCTACCCTTTTATCTGATCAATTACAATTGCCTATAGTTTTCCTTCAAGGGTTTTATTTATTTATTTATTTATTTATTTATTTATTTATTTGAAATTCCTAGAAATATCTTTGCTATAGGGCACATGTAATTACCAGAGAGACAGAGACACAGAGAGAAACAGAGAGACAGAAAGTGAGAAATTATACCCCCACCCCAGGGAGGAGATGACAATGCTGCAACCCCTCCTCCATTCTCTTCTTGGGATTTTGTGCATACACATATGACTGGCATGAGATTTAAGCCACTGAGCCTGGGACTCGAGCAGTGGTCCACTACATGCGAGTCCATTGAGGTAACCGTTATGCCATCTACTGGTCCCCAAAGGTCTTTTTATGTAATGTTTGCCAGATTCTCATGGAAAACTACATATCTCAGTGGTAAAGCAATTTCTCACTGATTAAATGCCTAGTATCTTAACAAACTCTGACATTGCAGAAAGTTTAAGATAAGATTTAGCTCTTATGGTCTCAGAAAGATTCTACTTTGAGTCTACAAAAGAAAGCATACATTATTTTTGTTGGGTATATTGAAACACCTTGTTAGTTACTTTAACTAGGATTTAAAGTTTAAGCAATAAATATGTGTTTTGGCTTAATCTGTCTTCTTGTTTTCATTTAAAATTATCAAGACTTAATTTAATAAAAGAACTCTCTATAAAATTATATGTAAATGTTCTAATAGTTCTGTCTATAGAGTGTACGCATGTTGTTTCACTAATGCTTTCCAGTCTTACATATTTTTCTTTTGAATTCTTGGGCATTAAGTAGATCAAGTCTGATTCCCTTGGATACAAAGAGTTCTATCTGTCTACATTTTCCCTGGGATTTTAGTGAATGATACTGTTTGTTTGTTTGTTTTTTATGCCACATGGCAACCTGGGTTGGGTTGTCTCCCAGAACTTGGGCAAATGACCCAAACAACACAGTATTAGGTCACAAAAGCAAATACAGGTTCCTGACTATCTGCCTTTCTCCTTTCCCTTTGGCATGGTAGTGGTACTTCATGATAGCGTTTCATTATTGTGGAGAATGATGATAATCATCTGTACTGGGGCAGTAAAATGGACAGAGAATCAGAAGAAAGGAAGAAGTCAGAGTATTACTGGATATCACCTATATCTACCTGGGGAGGAGGAGTGAATGATAACATAAAAGCACCAAAGCACCACCACAATAATCTAGTGCATATTTCTTCTTTATAAACAAGAATTTATGAGTCTTTTACTTTTGACTGTCTTACCTAGCCTATGAATATATAAAACTCACTTATTTACTGATCTAGAGCAATTGACGTCAAGGCCAGGCAGCAGTGAGTGAAGAAGTAACAATTCTACTCACATGGAAAAGGTCTTGGGTTTGCATCCCAGGACCTCCCTGGGCACACCAGGTACGCACAAGCCTGTGATTCAGGCCAGCTGTATGTGGATGTGGACCACAGCATGAAGACCCTTTTAAGGGCACCTCTCTTTCTCTCTCTCTCTTTTTCAGAAGAAATCAATAAATAAACAACAACAAAAAAGAAATTCCACTGTTTATTTTAGCTCATCATGAAAGTATTTCATAGAAATTAAGATAAGCTATTTTCTTGATTTGGTTAAGAATATTCAAATGTGAATATTATTAGCTGATCATAAAATACCAGGAATTTATTCCTTCTTATACCATTGAGTGTTTTGTTTCTTATTTATGATTGTTGAAGATTTTGTTTTTTACTAAGTAGTAAGAGTCAGGCCTTGCATGTTGATTTCATTGTTAATAGTATCTCACATCCCTCATATCTCTCTCTTTGCTGTTGACACCTTTTTAGTTTAAATTTTATTTTCATATGTTAAATTCTTGTTATCGTCATAAGTTATATGGCTCAACTGGGATGTTGATGAAATATCTCATATGACAACAAAAAAACTACAATGCTTTTTAATTTTCCTATCTAGAGATAAAAAACATTTGAATAAGTTGAAGTTCTTCCCACTCTACATTTTCAGTTTAAAAAAATGTTTACTTCGGGACTAGCAGATGGTGTAATGACTATGTCGCTGGATTCCCATGTCATCAACCATGGTTCGAGTCCCGGACCTGGTGGCTTGAACTCACGCTGGGCGCATGTGTGTGCATGCCCAAGATCCTAAGGAGAATGGAAGAGAAGAGATTGCAGTATGGCCATCCCCCGGGGAGGTGATTTCTTGCTTTCTGTCTCTCTGTCTCTCTCTCTCTTTCTGGCAAGCGCATGTGCCCTATAGCAAAAAAAACAAAACAAAACAAAACAAAAACCTCAAAAATGTTTATTTATATCATGAGAGAGGGAGAGAGACAGATAGACAGTAACCTTC